TATCCAAAATCTATAAAGAGCTCACCAAACTCCACACCCGAAAAACAAATAACCCAGTGAAGAAATGGGCAGAAAACATGAATAGACACTTCTCTAAAGAAGACATCCAGATGGCCAACAGGCACATGAAAAGATGCTCAATGTCGCTCCTCATCAGGGAAATACAAATCAAAACCACACTCAGGTATCACCTCACGCCAGTCGGAGTGGCCAAAATGAGCAAATCAGGAAACTATAGATGCAGGAGAGGATGTGGAGAAACAGGAACGCTCTTGCACTGTTGGTGGGAATGCAAACTGGTGCAGCCACTCTGGAAAACAGTGTGGAGGTTCCTCAAAACATTAAAAATAGACCTACCCTATGACCCAGCAGTAGCACTGCTAGGAATTTACCCAAGGGATACAGGAGTACTAATGCATAGGGGCACTTGTACCCCAATGTTTATAGCAGCACTCTCAACAATAGCCAAATTATGGAAAGAGCCTAAATGTCCATCAACTGATGAATGGATAAAGAAATTGTGGTTTATATACACAATGGAGTACTACGTGGCAATGAGAAAGGATGAAATATGGCCCTTTTAGCACCATGGATGGAACTGGAGAGTGTCATGCTAAGTGAAATAAGCCACACAGAGAAAGACAGATACTATATGTTTTCACTCTTATGTGGATCCTGAGAAACTTAACAGAAACCCATGGGGGAGGGAAGAAAAAAAAAAAAAGAGGTTAGAGTGGGAGAGAGCCAAAGCATAAGAGACTCTTAAAAACTGAGAACAGGGGCGCCTGGGTGGCGCAGTCGGTTGAGCGTCCGACTTCAGCCAGGTCACGATCTCGCGGTCCGTGGGTTCGAGCCCCGCGTCGGGCTCTGGGCTGATGGCTCAGAGCCTGGAGCCTGTTTCCGATTCTGTGTCTCCCTCTCTCTCTCTGCCCCTCCCCTGTTCACGCTCTGTCTCTCTCTGTCCCAAAAATAAATAAACGTTGAAAAAAAAAATTAAAAAAAAAAAAAACTGAGAACAAACTGAGGGTTGGTGGGGGGTGGGAGGGAGGGGAGGGTGGGTGATGGGTATTGAAGAGGGCATCTTTTGGGATGAGCACTGGGTGTTGTATGGAAACCAATTTGACAATAAATTTCAGAAAAATAAAATAAAATAAAGTATCTTAAAAGATTAAAAATAATAATAATAAAATAAAATATACTGCTTGGCTTTAAAATATTCCAGCAAAAAATATTTGGAAGATTAACAAGAAAGGTAAAATAGAAGTGATTATTAAAAATATGTGATGCTCGGTGCCTGGATGGCTCAGTCGGTTAAGCGTGTGACTCTTGATTTCAGCTCAGGTCATGATCTCAGTGTGAGATTGAGCCCTGTGTTGGGCTCTATTGCTAAGTGTGGAGCCTACTTGGGATTCTCTCTCTCTCTCTCTCTCTCTCTCTGTCTCTCTCTCCCTCTGCCCCTCCCTGCTCGCTCACTCTCTCTCTCTCTCTCTCAAAATAAATATTTAAAAATGCGATGTTGTATGTTATCTATACTTGAATTAAAAAATAAAAATAAAAACGTGATGGGTACATGTCTGTTCATTTTACTATTCTATTTTTGTTACGTTTGGTATGTTCTACAATAAAAAGTTAAAATAAAACAAGTTACAGATGAGTGGGTAGCTATCTCATTAAAACATACTTTTGTTAGACTCAAATGTGGACCATATTTGAGAATAGAAGGAAACATCACAAGATGAAAACCAAAGTTTTAACAGTAGATGGATGAGCAATAGTGAATGTGATTCTTTTTAATTTACACTGTAACTTTGGTATGGGGTAAACTTTGTTACATAACTTTGTAAGAGGAATGTAGTGACCTTTGAAAAGAATTGTATGCATATAGGGAAAATAAAGCTTAACTTGAACAGGTATGATGGTATCAGTATACCTCAAAGTAGCAACTAAGGCAGTATAGCAACCACAACCTGTTTGTCTTTATGAATTCTTTGATTAGTGTACATTCCTATCCCCTCACCATTACCTCAATAGGGAAACTCTGAGTTTCAAAATGATTTATGAAATAAAGTACTGAGATAATATTCATTCAAGTTTCATATTAAACCATCTTTTTTAAAAAGTTTTTTATTTATTTTGAGAGAGACAGAGATAGCGCAAGTTGGGGAGGGACAGGGAGAAAGGGAGACAAAGAATCCCAAGCAGCCTCCCCGTGTGGGACGTGGGGCTCAAACTCCTGAAACTGGGATATCACCTGAGCCAATACCAAGAGTCTGATGCTTAACTGCCTGGGCCACCCAGGCTCAACAGTCTTATAACAACAGCATCAAGAATAAAAATCTAATTAAATCAATCTAGATGATGAGAGAGTAGGGAAAGGGTTGTGAAAACTTGAGCTAGAGGGACTCTTCTTGTATAGTGTACTGATTAATTTTAGAACACAAAAGTACTGCACCACCCACTAAATTTAACTAACTTCCATAATGCCTTAAATTTTCTCTTATAATTATTCTTTTTGGTCAACAATGGATTTCTCAAAGTGTGTTCATAACCCAAAGATAGTAAATATTATGGAGGGGAAAGAATTCATGGTCAGGACTGGGAAACAGTGTGTTGAATAATGGTAATATTTTCTTTATTGCAGGTCTTCTTACAACCTTTTAATTCGGCTTGCTCAAAGTGTAATTCATTGGCAATAAGGGAATTTGGTTATGTACCACAATATGCAATGAGACAGAGTCCTCTCCTCCAATGGTATTTTGGAGATTATTATCTCTTGAACATATTTTGGAGAGTCTGGTTCAGAGTATTTTCTAATAGGCAAATATGTTATATGCCAAATATATGTCAATGAATTATGATCAATGTAGCAAATAATATTTTAGGGGCGCCTGGCTGGCTCAGTCAGTTGAGCGTCCAGCTTCAGCTCAGGTCATGATCTCACAGTTCGTGAGTTTGAGCCCTGCATCAGGCTCTGTGCTGACAGCTTAGTGCCTGGAGCCTGCTTCGGATTCTGTGTCTCCCTCTCTGTCTGCTCCTCCCCAGCTTGCACTCTGTCTCTCCCTCTCTCAAAAACAAATAATAAACATTTAAAAAAATTTTTTTTCAAAGATGAATTTAAATTACATTTGGGAAAACTGATCAGGACACTTGAAAGGGCCAGAAGCATCATTTTCCCCACTTAAAATAATGGAAGTAGGCTCTGAAATGTGGGCATCTGAAAATTTACTCTTCAACATATTATCAGATACAGATAATGAGAAAAGCTGTAGTTAGTAAATTTTGTTTTGATTTCTCATTTAAGACAGTAATAATTTATATAGTTTTATTTTAATGGAGCCACTTGGCTATAATTTTCTTGATAAAAAATTATCTTTCCCTTAAAGAAGTAATTAGAAAATGTAGTAAAATGACTTCTGCTTTTGGAATTTGCTGTAGAAAAATGACCTCCCCTTGATTTTATAAAAAATCTCTACAACTCTAAAGGAATTTCTTCCATAGTTTTTTTGCAGTATGAATTATCTGGTGCAGCAAAATTTATGAGCTCTAAAATGGAGGCCTTTCTGCCTTTATGATGTCCTAAAGCTTCTGTCACAGAATAAATTATCTGGTGTTCAAAAAAGGATAGATGGTAAAACCAGACCAAACCCAAACAAGAAACAGAAAGGGATAGATGGTAATAGAATGCTTATGTCTTACTGTATTCAAAAATATTCCTACCCTTTGACTTCTCTAATAGCATATAATAATGATAATACCAGTGATAATAATAGATACTGAGTATCAGATGCTGTCCAAAGGGAGTTACATGTGTTTAATCATCCATAATTCAATCCATGTAATATCATTACATTATTTTACACAAAGAAGCTGAGGCACAGAGAGGTTAAGTAACTTTTCAAATTTCACAGGAAATGGTGAAATAGAGATGGTACTCAATAAAGGATATATTTCAGATTACATTCCAAGGCTATAGAGATTGTTAAAATTGTTTAATAGGGGGTGCCTGGGTGGCTTAGTTGGTTAAGTGTCTGACTCTTGATCTCAGCTAAGATCTTGATCTCAGGGTCGTGAGTTCAAGCCCTAAGTTGGACTCTGTGCTGGGCATGAAGCCTACTTTAAAAATAAAAAATAAAAAATAAATGAAAATAAATGTTTACTGTGTTTCAGAAGTTATTTCTGCATTCATTAATATAGGCTTTCTAAAAATGAGTTCATTATGAGCACAAGTCAAAGGATGTCCTACATTCATTACGAACATAATATGGGTTCTCTAATATTCCAGAGGTGTTGAATACAGTTGAAGCCTTTCTTATATTAAATCATATTCAAAGCTTTTTCAATTATGAAGCCTCATATGTTGAGTAAGTTGTGAATGACGTCTAAAGTCTTTACCACATTGGACACATGCATAAGGTTTCTCACCAGTATGGATCCTTTGATGTAGAGTAAGTTCTGAGCCACGACTAAAGGCCTTCCCACATTCCTTACATTCATAGGGTTTCTCACCAGAATGAGTTCTTAGATGTTCAGTAAGATGTGAACCACGAATAAAGGCCTTCCCACACTGCTTACATTCATAGGGCTTTTCACCTCTATGAATTCTCTGGTGCTCACTAAGTTGTGAGCCATAAATAAAAGCCTTGTCACATTCCTTACATTTGTAGGGTTTCTCACCTGTATGAATTCTCTGGTGATATGTAAGTTGTGTGGCACGAAAAAAGGTCTTCCCACATTCCTTACATTCATAATGTTTCTCACCATGAATTTTCTCATGTTGAGTAAGATATGCACCACGAATAAAAGCCTTTCCACACTCCTTACATTCAAAGGGTTTCTCACCTGTATGAATTCTCTGATGTTCACTAAGCTGTTTGCCACAAATGAAGGCCTTCTCACATTCTTTACATTTGTAGGGTTTTTCACCTGTATGAATTCTCTGATGTTGAGTAAGATTAGAATTAGAAATAAAGGCTTTTCCACATTCTTTACATTTATAGGGTCTCTCACCTGTATGAACTCTCAAATGGTAAGTAAGTTGTGAGCCACGAAAAAAGGCCTTCCCACATTCTTTACATTCATAGGGTTTCTCACCTGTATGGATTCGCTGATGTTCATTAAGTTGGGAGGCACATAAAAAGGCCTTCCCACATTCTTTACATCTGTAAGGCTTTTCACCAGTATGAACTCTTTGATGATAAGTAAGGTGTGAACCAAGAATAAAGGCCTTTCCACATTCCTTACACTCATAGGGTTTCTCACCACTATGAATTCTCTGATGGTAAGTAAGTTGAGAGCCAAGAATAAAGGACTTCCCACATTCCTTGCATTCATAGGGTTTTTCACCACTGTGAATTCTCTGATGGAGAGTATATTGTGAACAATAACTAAAGGCTTTTCCACATTTCTTACATTCATATGGTTTCTCTCCTGTATGAACTCTCTGATGTTCAGTGAGCTGTGAACCACGAATAAAAGCTTTCCCACATGCCTTACACTGATAAGGTTTTTCATTAGTATGAATTTTCTGATGTTGAATCAGATCAGAACTACGACCAAAGGCCTTCCCACATTCCATACACTCATAAGGCTTTTCACCATTCTGAATCCTCTGATGTTGAATATATGGTGGCTTTTTGCTGAAGGTCTTCCTACGTTTCTTAACTTCAGAGTGTTTTTCTTTATTATGGCTTTTCTCATGTTGAGTAAGGCATGACAGGTAGCTGAAAGCTTGTTCATATTCCTTACATTTGTACAATTTTTCCCTGGTAGGATTTAGCGGATGAAGAGTAGGTGACACAGAATGGCTTTGGGTGGCCTTTTCTCCATAGGTAATTTTCATGTGCATGTAAAGTCCTTCCTGACTTCCCTGTTGATCCTCAAATTTGCCTTTGCCCTCCATATTATCTCTAAGACCATTGTAATCAAAATTATGGCTGATAGGTTTCCTCCTATTTTCCCATTGCAGTGATTCCATTTCATAAGCTCCCTTTTCTGGAGATGACTTTTTGGTCTCACAACTGGATTCCAAGTCTGTAAGATAACAAGAGAGCAAATTCCTTCTTTTTTTTTTTTTTTTTTTTTTTTTAACAAGGGGAAATGAAACTTCTAAAATAAAAATGATAGGTAAAATAAAAATTCTGATAAGAACAAATGGCTTAAACAGTGCTGAAATATTTTGTGCAATTAAAACAAAAGGCACAAGGAGAAAACATAGAATGAGGGGAGTTTATAGGGAGCAAAGTAATTAGGAAAACAGTTTAAGTGTGCGGTTCTCAAACTTTGGAGTAGATTAGAATCCAACCAAAGAAGCTTATAAAATAACAAAAACACTCCCCTATAAACATTCAATCAAATGTCTAGTTAGATATCCAATCTACCAACAAGACCTACTACCTGTCCTATTAAAAGTTTATCAAGGGACGCCTGGGTGGCTCAGTTGGTTAAGTGTCTGATGTTGGCTCAGGTCATGATCTCACCTGGCTTTGAGCCCCACATTGGGCTCAGGGCTGACAGCTCAGGGCCTGGATCCTGCTTCAGATTCTGTGTCTCCCCCTCTCTGTGCCCCTCCCCTGCTCACACTCTGTCTCTCTCTCTCTCAAAAATAAATAAACATCAGAATTTTTTTAAGTTAATCAAGTACGACCACATCCACTACTATCACTCTAGGCCAAGCCACTTGCAATTGTCCCTGCAATCTGTTCTTCACACAGCAGCCAGAGGAATTCATTTACAATGTAATTCATATCACCTTATTCCCCTATAAAAATCTTCTGAGTTTACCATCTTAGAATAATATCCTAAGTTCTTACTTATTATGGCTCACAAGACCTTACTATGGTCCACAGACTCTACATGAGTTTGCCCTTGGCCACTTTTCTGATGTCATCTCTTGCCACTCCTAATTATTCATTTTGTTCTCACCACAATGGCTTCCTTGCTGTTCAAAAATACCAAGTGTATACCTCCGTGTTTACCTTTTGGAATGCTCTTTTCCCAGATACCTGCATGGTTTGCTCTCTCATTTCAGTTTTCCATTCAAATGACACATTACCAAAACACCCAATATAGAAATGCACCTATACTGCATTTATCACTAATGGATATACTAGTTTTAAAGTTTGTGCCTTGTCTGTCTGCCCATGCTTAATCAAAGCAATGACTTTGTTTCATTCTCTGCTTTATTTCTAGTACCTAGAGCCATTACTGGACACTCAGTATTTGTCAGCAACTTTAAAAATACAAATTTTCTTTCATTTTTCATTTCCCCAGATGCTTCTGATATAAAAAAAAAATTGAGAATACTGCTTAAAACCTTTCAATGGTTTACCCCTTTGTACTTCAAATAAAATCCAAATTCCTGTTCAAAGCCTAAAAGCCCCTGCATGATCCATTTCTTGATTACTTTTTTCACCTCATTTTGAACCACCACTATCTTCAGGAACAATGCTCTAGCCTTACTGGCTTTATTGAAGTTTTTGGAACGTATCAAATCCTTTCCCATTTCACACTCTCACATGCTGTTCTATCTGCCAGGAATGCTCTCTGCATGGCCAGTTCCTTTTTGTCTGAAATGTCCTAACTAAAATGGCAGCTGCTCAGAAAGACTATCCCTGAAAACTCGAATTGGGTTCATGCTTTATCTTATTCTTTCATTTATCTGATTGTCTATACTTGTCATATAACTTTAATATGTAGAAGAACACTATCTAATGTGACTGGAACAGCAGCCACCATCTCTGACAACAATGCACATAAGCTGTAGAGTGTAATAGAGGATGGTGTTGAGAAAGGAAATAAACATAAATCAATAAATTGAAGATTGAACAGTCTTTAGAAATGAGTCAGAAATCCAAGGAAAACATGCTTTTGTTGAAAAGCAGAAAGAAATTGTAAACAACAACAAAAACAAAAAACCCCACATAGCTCAGTTTAACATCAACTCATGTCAGCAAAATGTACTGGGATGAGAGTACCTGGCTTTTTACTTTGTCAGAGAAGCACAATATCATTTATAAAACATTAGGTAAGAACCCAACTGGAATATGGTGATCAAGAGAACAGTGTAAGGAACCAAATGAATCCAGTTTAGGTCCCAAACTGCTCTCCATGTCACATATAGTAACATGATTAAATAGTTCTTTTTTGATGTTTATTTATTTTTGAGAGAGAGAGACAGAGCACAAGCAGGGGAGGGGCAGAGAGAGAGGGAGACACAGAATCTGTAACAGGCTCCAGGCTCTGAACTGTCAGCACAGAACCTGACGCGGGGCTTGAACTCACGAATTGAAAGATCATGACCTGAGCCAAAGTTGGACGCTTAACCGACTGAGCCACCCGGGTGCCTCTAAACAGTTCTTTTTATTGTCGTTAAATTAATGGAAGAAAAAAATGAGAAAATACAAAAGGGGTGATGGCTGAAAATGACAAAATGGCGTCTGAAAAGCAGAAGTCATTTCGGGAGACCTCTTTCATACTTGCCCCCCTCAACAACTCTGGCTGAATTGATCCTCTAAATCTCTCTTGAATCTGTTTCCTTATCCCCAATGCCATTACCAACACTCAGAAAGCCCAGAGAGCACCACACATTTGAAGCAAAACAATAATCCCCTCAGTCGTGTCCTGAGATCCTTTCTTCTAATCTCCATCTGGTAGTCAAGAGTAATATATTAAATATGTAAATCACATTATGTCACTGTCCTACTTAAGATTCTTCATTAGCTTGCAAATGTTTTGGGGACAAAATTCAATGAGAGATAAGAAATACATGTTATTTTATGGTCAAATACACACCCACAACATAAAACAAACAAGTCATGAAATAATCTTTACCTCTGCTACATGTGATGCATTCTGATATTTTTAAAAAATTTCTGCTCTATGTTATTGTATTTAAGAATCAAAACAAAACTGGGGCGCCTGCGTGGCTCATTCAGTTGCACATCCAACTTTGGTTCAGGTCATGATCTCGATGTTCGTGAGTTTGAGCCCTGCTTTGGGCTCTGTGCTGACAGCTCAGAGCCTGGAGCCTGTTTCAGATTGTGTCTCCCTCTCTCTCTGCCCTTTCCCACTCACACTCTGTCTCTCTCTCTCTCTCTCTCTCAAAAATAAATATTCTTTAAAAAAAGAAAAAGAAACAAAACAAAACAAAAACAAAAACAAATGCTGTTCACAACCTATCAGGTCATTTTTATAATCCCTAAGGTTCTGCCTGGCCTAGACCCTGGCAGACTCCAAACTCACACCTGGCACCCTTCCCTCACTAGGCTCCAACTATAAGGGCCTTCTTTGAATACCTCCTATTACACCAAGCTGCATTGCTCTATGGCCTTCAGGACACCGTTTCCTCTGCCAAGAATGTTTTTCTCTCTACCCTCGGCCTCCCTACTGCTTTACATCCTTTCAGGGCTCATCCTTTCACATACCTTTGCTTTTCCTCAAAAGTCCTTCCCAATCTCAGACTCCAGCAATGCCGCACCTGCAATTCGCTCTTATAGTAAGACAGCCACAGCTCATGAGCTCATGATAGTGAAACTGAGCCCCACATTGGGCTCTGCACTGAGCATGGAACCTGCTTGGGATTCTATCTCTCTCCCCCTCTCTCTGCTTCTCCTACCTTCCCCCCCACCCACCTCTCCACACTCTCTTGCTCTCTCAAACAAATAAATAAATAAATAAACAAACAAACTAAACTAAACATAAACATAAAAAAAAAGACAGCTACTCTACCCACTGCAGCCTACAAGGGAGGCCCCCCATAGCTTTGGATGCTGGTAAGACTGCCACATCCTGCTCTTAATGCTGGATTCTCCTAGGAGGTCTTGACTTCCATAAACTCTCAATGTGACAGTCCCGCTACCTTTAGTTTATGACAGGAATAAGTACTCACCCTCCCCAAAGAAACTACTCCAAGACCTATCCTGTAATGCTTGGCATCTCTGGGTATCCCAATACTCCTGAAAAGCCCTGGCTTTCTGTATCCTTGTTCATCACTAGGCCTCTCATCCCATTCCAGGTCTAGACATCTTTTATTGTGACTCAGTGTTCTATTACTCTCTGACCACTAGGGCTCCAGGAACTCACTATATACTTTCTGCAAATACTCCACAACCTCAGCCTCCTTCCCTCTATGTATTTTCTTCACCTCTTGCTCTGATTGCAACGTTGAGCACCCTGCTTCCCAGAAGCACTGTTTTCCTCCACCTCACTCCACCTACCGTCCCCTGAAGTAGACATAACAGACCTTGTTATTTCTAATTAGGACAGTACCTCCCAAAACTCAATTTCAAGTAACCATCCTTACTGACCACTACCACCCATATTTCCAGATCACTTACTCTTGTACCATCTCTCCAATATTTATCTCCACCTTAAAGACTCTCCTTCAAAATCAAAACAAAACAACTCCTTTGATTCTATGGTTCACCCTGTAGCTCCTATCCATTTACTGTACTCCTTCCTGGTAAAACTTCTCAAAAGAGATGTCTGTATTTCCTGTCAATACTTTTTCCCCCTTTGTCTCCCACCCTTATAACTAACATTTTTCCCATATTTGCTTCCAGGATTTTTTTTTCTTGCACTTTTTTTTAAAAAAAATTTTTT